GGAAGCCTGGAATGAGGCTTTCCCAGGGGACTCCCCAAGGCATCTGCCCTCCTAGGGTGGCAAGTGGGGCAGTGTGCATGAGAAGCCTGCGCAAGCTCTCATGCAAGGCTCCACATGGCTGTGCTGGGAATGTGGGTTCAATCCCAAGGTCTGGTGGTGGCAGGTGGCTGCCTAGGGCAGCTCTGAGAAGTTCCTAGGGCCCACCACTCAGTGTCCTGGCCTCTGTCCAGCCCCAGAGGGGCCCGGGCTCGTTCTGGGCACCCAGAGGCACTGTTCTCTCTTGTTCACTCAGGACTCAATCACCTGTGCTTAGCAGTGGGTCATGTGGGTTTAAGATGTTCTTTAGCTAGTGTGATATTTGAAACATTTTAAAATTGGTTATTTAAAATCAAGAGAGTTTATATAAAAATCTATATTTGCAGTCTCTTTGGAAAATGCACAGATCTGGTGGCACCAGGCCTGAATTCCCAAAGAGCAGCACTGGTGGAGTTCAGTGGCATCTGCGCCTTTGGTCCATGCACTTGCTCCTTCTCCGCAGTCCCCACCACACCCAGCCTATACCTCACCCATGTGGCTTTGCCAAGCATTCACCTCTTCTACTTTGATCTGCAGGACACAGATGTTCCCCAAGGGCACTGGGATCAGGACCTTCAGTGAACAGTCAGGGGACATCCAGAGGGGCTGCCCAGGAGCAGGGGTCCTCCAAGAGTCGAGGGAGCTCACCTGGTATTGTGCCCTCCATGCCTGCCACCCGCTCACCCACAGGTCCTTTCACCTCAGCTTTCCCACCAACTGAATGTCCTATACGTCTGCCTTCTGGCTACCCACACACAGTGCACAGGTTCCTCTACCTGGGAGCCTCTTTCCTCAGCCTGTGCTCATTTCTTATTAGCTCTTGGGAAGAACTCAGCCGTCCCCTCCTATGTGAGTTGTCCCAGACACTGCCTTCAGCACAGCCGCAGTGGTCTTACCCTCCTGGCCCCCATCACAGCTGGTGTAAACATACTCCCCGCTGCCCAGTTCTCCACCAGGGGCCACTCCCCCTCCCCATTCAAAGCCAGTGCTCAGCGTGGAGCAGACGTCAAGGAGCTCCGAGTGAAGGATGAACACACAGCCCCGATCCCACCATTGTGCTCAGCCTCACTTGCTCAGCTCACAGGTGACAGAGGCCATAGTCAGGGGAAAGAGACACTGAGAAAAACAATTGTAAAATTCTCTCTAGAGAGCCACAGACCTTGGTAATTCCATCCAGCCTCCACTTGATGCCAGCCATTCCTGCTCTCCTGTCCCCAAGACATGTTGTCTTTCTGGCCATCCTTCCCTCCACACTTCCATTCTCTGGCGCTTGGGTCCCAGCCCTGTTCTAGGTATTAGAGAGCCTCAGAGCTGCCCAGAGGGCTAGAAACATGTAAATCCTGCGAGGGCCTCCTCTGCTGGAAACCCTTTGCTGCTTTCCCCCTCTCCCTGCCTACCTCCTAGGAAAAAGTCCAATCTTGGTTGGCAGGCCAGGCCCTGCCCCTGCCCCGCCTCCTCCAGCATCTGGGTGCAAAGCCTGGGCCAGACAGAGAGCAGCTGCCTCAGAGTCAGCCCCACCGTTCAAGGGAACCTGAGTCTCTGAAGGCCCCTCCCACACAAGCAACCTCAGCACAAGCAATATTTTCCTCCAGGAAGCCTCTTGAACACCAGGAAAGGGAGGTCTCTGGCACCCTGGATTGGAAGCAGGGAGTTGGCCAATGAGCAGAGGCCCAAAGGCAGACATGGGTGCGGACTGAGGACCCAGGGGTTGTAGAGCGGGTGTGAGGGAGGGTGCTGGAAGAGACTGGGAGAATAGTAGCGCCCTGCCCTAGCAAAGACCGTGGGTTATGATGAGCATTGACGCCACATGTCCCTCAGGGGCTCTGGGAAATGAGGAGCCTCCCCCAGAGGCCCTCCGAGTGCTGAGCCTGGCTAGAAGACTGGGCTAGGGGTGGGGGTGCGGACACAGGCAAAAGATAGTGGTTAAGGCCAAAGGCCATAAACACAAAGATTCCAAGCCTACATCTGTGTTGGTCTAGGTGCGTATCCTGGCTAAGTCATCGAGGAGCAGAGTGCCCCCCTTTTCCTGGGCCTCAGTTTTTCCATCTATAAAATGGGTATGATCATACCTGTTTTTAATAATAGTAATAGTCCCCAAGTTACTGAGCTATGTGAGAATTAAATGTATTGATATGTGTAAAATGTTTAGAAAAGCACCTGGTCCCACAAGTGCCATGCGTTAGCTATTTCCGCACACTTTCCTCATATACACATATGCATACACATGACCCCCACACACATACATTCATGCACACACACAGCCCAAGTGCACACAGACTTCTTCCTAAAGCTTTGATGGCATTATTAGGTGCAGTCTACATGAACATGTTTTCAAAGAGGTATGTTTTCATCCCCCGGGTTCTGTGTGCTTTGTCTTTGGGTCCTTTAGGGTGGTAAGGAAGATTTACTGAGCCCTGCTCTATGGCAGGCACTGTATTGCAAACTGATGTATCTTATTTCAAAATAACCTTTATGTATGGGGAGACAATTAGGCTTCCTGAGTCCTGCCGCCACTCAGTGCCAGGAGGAATTGACCCTCTTACCTGCTGGCTCACTGTACTGGTCTTGGGAAGCTACCTGCATGGGCTGTGTCTCTTAGGGACCACATGCCTCTGGCATACCCCTAAACCTGCCCTTCAGGGGAGGTCTCTGCATCATGGATCTGAAAGCCCTCAGCACTCCAGAGTCCTCACAGCACTTAGGGCTGGGAGAAGGCTGTTTTTCCTCTTACTCTCACTGCAAGATAGACAGCTTTATGTATCTCAGCTCCTTCCACTCTTTGCCTGGGCTTCCCGGGACCTCTCAACCCAGTTGTATGTATAGTTGTCACAAATTTTCTCAGTCAGAAATTCCTCTTTTGTTCTATCCCTCTATCCCCCATTTGCTTTCTAGTCCTGTATTAAATGTTTTGGATCTTTTGCTACCTGACTTTTTTTTTTGACAAATGTTATTAAGATATAGCATACATAAAAGTGTGGAAATCACAAGTGTACAGTTTAATGATTTTTCTCAAAGTGAACACAACCGGGGAAGCAGTGTTTGTTACCAGCACCCGGAAGCCCATCAGGCCCCATCCAGCCACCGAGGTAGCCGTGTTCTGCCCTAGTTTTGCACTTTACATAGAGTAATGAAGTTTGTGTTCTGGGTCTGGCTCTTGCATTTTTTTAACGCGTTGTTTATTTCTTTCTTTTTTAAAATTTTTATTTACTGATTTTAGAGATGGGGAAAGAGAGGTCAAGCTTTTTTTTTTTAATTCTCTTTCCCAAATCCTCACCAAGGATATGTTTATTGATTTTAGAGAGAGAGGAAGTTGGGGGGAGAGAAGCATTGAGCAGTTGCCTCCCGTATGTGGCCTGACTGGGGATTGAACTCATAACCTAGGTATATGCCCTGACTGGGAATCGAACCCACTTCCTTTTGGTGTACAGGACAGTGCTCCAACCAACTGAGCCATCCAGCCAGGGCAATGTCTTTGGTTTTTCATAAATTTTAAAAGTTTTTGGTAAATAGCGCTAACATAAAATTTACCATCTTAATCATTTTCAGGTGTACAACTCAGTGGAATTAAGTATATTCATAATGTGCAAACATAACCATCATTCATCTCCAGAATTTTTTTTTTATCTTGTAAAGGTGAAACCATGTCCCCAATAAATAATAACTCCTCACCTCCCATCCTCCAGCCCCTGGTAACCAACCTCCTACTTTCTGACTTTTTGATTATTCTAAGTACCTCATGTAAGTAGAATCATGCAGTATTTGTCTTTTTGTGACTGACTGATTTCACTTGATATAATGTCCTCCAGGATCATTCATGTTGTAGCATGTGCCAGAATTTTGTTCCTTCATAAGGCTGAATAATATTCCATTGTAAGTACATGCTACATTTTGTTTATCCATTCATCTGCTGATGGACACTTGGATTGCTTCCACCTTTGGGCTATTTTGAATGATACTATTATGAACATGATTGTATAAATATATGTTCAAGTGTGCTGTCAATTATTTTGGATATATGTGTATACCTAGAAGTGGAATTGCTGGGTCATAGTAATTCTGTTCTAAATTTTTTGAGGAAACTCTATACTTCTTTCCTCAACAGCTGCACCATTTTACATTCTCACTAACAGTATACAAGGGTTCCAGTTTCTCTACATCCTTGCCAACATTTGTTATTTTGTTTTGTTTTAATTTTTGAACAAAAAAAGTTCATTTTATTGTACTTTTTCATTACCTTTTGTCCCCCCCCACCCCCTCTTCCACCTTGTTATTTTGTTTGTTTTTTTTTAAATAGTAGCCATCCTAATGAGTGTGAGGTGGTATCTCATTGTGGTTTGATTTGCATTTCCTTGATGATTAGTGATGTTGAGTCATGATTATGTTTTCACACGAGTACAGCATTCATCTTGTCTCGAGCTCTGCTCCACCTGTTCTGTTGCGATCTGTGTTAGTGACAGGTGAGCAGACTCTGATGTATCTGCTCATTCTGTTGCTGATGGGCATTGGCTGGTTACCCATTTGGAGGGGTTGCAAGGAGTGCTTCTAGGAACATTCTAGAGCATGTATTTTGGTGGACATTGTCTTGAGTTTTTAAATGTAGGCCACTTCTCTTTGGAGGTTAGTGTTGCATGAATAAACTAATCAATAAACTGTGTAATGCATGTTCCATGAGGGCCCTTTTAAGGTTCCTCAGGCTTGCACAAGCTCCACAGGATAAGACAGGACACCTGTCCACAATGCCCTCCTGTCCCCTGTCCCAGGTGGCCTGGCACCCAGCTGCCTGGTGGGTGCCCCCATAGTTTCTTATCTGCTCCCTCAGGAGCAGCTGCCTTTGGCCCTGGTGCCACCCTTCCATTGTCCTGAGAGCCTACTCCCACTGCCAAGCTGGATAGCCGAGGGTATGACCAGATCCTCTCTGTGCCCAGGGATCTTTGGGCAGCGCCTGGAGGACACAGTCCACCACGAGCGGAAGTATGGCCCCCGCCTGGCCCCCATGCTGGTGGAACAGTGTGTGGACTTCATACGGGAGCGCGGGCTCACTGAGGAGGGGCTCTTCCGCATGCCGGGCCAGGCCAACCTGGTGAGGGACCTGCAGGACTCCTTTGACTGTGGGGAGAAGCCACTGTTTGACAGGTGAGCCCCTGGGGGAGGGATGAAGATGGGGCCACCTGCCCGTTATCCCCCTGCCGGGGCTCCTCCCAGGACCCCAGCTCTGGAGTCAGTTGCACTGGTCCCCCAGGAAGCCTGGCAGCAGGACGATGAGGAGAATGGTTCCTCACATTGGTACATGTGTGCTCAAACAGCCCTCCCCAGTGGGCAGAGTGCAGGGCCCCAAATCCCTGCAGCTCCCCTAAGCCTCCTCTCAGGGACAGTCCTGCCACGGAGGAGGCCGCTCACATCCAAGCAGGCTTTTTCCACTGTGGGTGACCCTAAACCCAACTCAGGCAGGAGAAAAGAAGGGCCTATGCTGCCCATTCAGGACTGCCGGCCCTCCTTAGGGTGCCTGCCCCTGGGTTCTGCTTCCTTGGGGTGACCTGCCCTCAGGCTTCATCAGCACCAAGATGGAGCAGATGCGGTGGCCCCACATCCTTCAGGTTTCCTGATGGGGAGCAAGTCTGCTTTGGCTGTCCGGGGCCAGTGCCCATCCTAACCCATCACTGAGGCTTACCAGGTCCTGGCCTTGCCCTTTGGGCAGAGTCAACTTCACTAAGAGCCCAGGGGCTAAGAATAGGGGAGATGGGGCTGTTTGGGGGACCCTACCCATTTGGGACAGTTTTTCATAGGAAGTTCTTCCTGCGTCAGCTTACCCTGGCTTCCATGGAGCTTTGCCTTTCTTCTTGGATCTGCCTCCACAGGTGTGGCCCCCTTTGCCCCAGGATAGGTTTATGGGTTCCTACTGGCAGCCCTGGCCTTCCCGGGCCTCCTCCTGGGGCAGAACACCCCCAGTCTCTCCAGCTCCTACCCACACCCATCAATGTAGCCAGAGGAGTCTGCCAGTGTCTTTCTTCAGATGTAGAATCTGAGATTGACACCCTTCCCCAGAGAAGGTCTGCCCAGGAGGCACAGGGGTCCCTCCATCTGGAGCCTCATGAAGATGCATCCTGATACTCTGAACTTGTGGTCCAGAATTTTCAGTCTCAGTGAGCCTGAGGTCCACTCTGATCCTCCGCCAGCCAGGCCTCTTCCGTCCTGTGCCTGGGTGGTCCAGGGCTGTGGTTGGAGATCGCTTCAAATGGATGCCACTTCTGTGATTCCTGGGAACATATCCTTGACATTGGGCTCTGGGCGCTTTTCCTTCTAGGAACTGCCCCCAGGGTTACCTGACACCATTCTTTTCCACTTTTTACCATCTCCGTGATGGTCCTCTGGCCCCGCCTTTGTGCCCACCTCCAGACACAGGAGTCCCAAGGCTCTCTCCTCCGTTCACTCCCTGACAGAAGGGCTGGGGGCTACTCCCCTCACCTGCCTGCTGGCCTCAGCATTCCAAAGTAGTCTCACTCCTGGGTACAAACCACACTTTGCACAACAATGAACTTCAGCCCCAGGTCTTGGGCTCCCTGCTCCATAAAGAGCCCCGCCAGCCTGGAAGCCTTAGTCAACAGAGCTGTCTCATACCCAGCCCTTCCCCAACCCTGTCCCTGGGGTCTGTCCTGGCCCCCATGCTGGTGGAACAGTGGTAGCAGTTCTCCTAGGCCTGTCCACCTTGTTGCCAAGCATCAAAGAGGATCTCCTTTGATCCAGACCCTGAGTCAATGGAGGGCGCTCCATTGGCCCTTGCTATAAGCTCAGCTTGCTTCATCCATCCACTGAGTGAGAGCACCCCCGCAGGCATGGGGATGAGGCCATGAATTAGACAGACAAGGTCCTGCCCTCCGGGGGCCAGGACAGATGGCAAACAACATGGCAAACAAGGAAACGCACACACAGGGGACCAGCACAGGCTTCAGGCACCAAGCCCAGGCCCTGTCTGGCAGACTAGCTTAGAGGAGGTCCAAGACCAGGACACAGTCCCCGAGCCCAGGCCTGCTGCCCTCCATGGTGCCCACCTCAGCCTGGGCAGCTCTGAGCTGGAAGCAGGAGGCTGAGGACTGGGAGTGGACACACGGGGAGCTGGGTGCTGGAAATAGGGTGAGGAGCACAGAAGCCCAACATCCATTGAGGAAAGGGTCTGACCTCTGACCTGCTCACCCCTGGTGGCCAGTGCCCTGGGTCTCCGCTCTCTTTTGACATGGCCCTTCCCGTTCCATCAGTGGGGGTGGGGTGGGGGGGGCAAGTGGGGGTGGAGCAAGCTCAGGCTTGGGCAAGGACAGCTGTGTGCCTGCCTCCCTCCCACCCCTACCACCTTCCTCCCAGGAATGGTGCAGCTGCCCGGTCTCCCTACAGAGGACTCTGGGTGGCCACCAGGCCTGAAGAAGGGGACTCTTCACTTCCACCAGTTCCCTGACCAGCTGTGACAGGGCCCCTCTGAGCCAGCAGGGGTCATGAGTGATTCCCCCCACCCGGAGCAGCCATTGTGTGGGGAGCAGCTGCACCCTGCCAGCCCCATGGCTTTTGCAGCAGTGGAGAGTTTGGCACTGCCATCCCTGAGGACAAACCCAGACCTGAGATGCAAGGCTTCTGAGCAGGGGCCTGAGCTGTGGGTTGTCTCTGAGCTGGAGCTCCAGTCCACACCCAACTCAGGACCCCTGTGCAAGGCTCCTAGAAGCAGCCTGGGCGTTTCCTTGATCGGGGCAGTGGGAGCAGATGCAGTCCTCACCCCTCTGTGGCTCTTTTTCGTGCACATGCGCACATGCGGGGACACACACACACACACACACACACACACACACACAAGGGCATGCAAGCAGAGGCTGCCAGTGGGTGGGGACATGATGGTCCCTCCTACAGTTCCCTAGCACCCATGTTTCTTGCTTGTCCCCTTGCTGGCAGCACCACAGATGTGCACACGGTGGCCTCCCTGCTGAAGCTGTACCTACGGGAGCTACCCGAGCCTGTAGTCCCTTTCGCCAGGTATGAGGACTTCCTCAGCTGCGCCCAGCTGCTCACCAAGGACGAGGGGGAGGTTAGTGGATCCTGGGGACTCATCCTGGGAGGTGGACTGCTAGGTGGGGAGAGGGGGCTGTGGGGTCAGCACACAAAACTCTTAACCCTCACCATTTTTTGAGGCACGTAGACCCTGACCTGCCGCCTGCTCTGTGTGTGTGTGTGTGTGTGTGTGTGTGTGTGTGTGTGTGTGTGTGTGTGTGTGTGGGGTGAGGACAGGAGAATCCTGCTGATGGGGGGCAGGTTTATTTTGTTTTGTTTATGGGGTAGCATGGAACATCCCAATCTTTGCGGGTGTGGTGCTGGAGCATTCCCTCTGTGCAGGGCCCTTCCTGAGTGAGGTTTCAGCCTGCGCGGGGCATGGGGAAGGTGCCTCCTAAAGCAGGCCATGTTCTGGTCACACCCAGGACACCACCCAGTAGGTGCTCCTACTCCACGACCCGATCCTCCACGACCCGATCCTACACTCGCCGTCAGGCTACCCAGCACCACAGAGTTCAGAAACAACCAGACTCTTCATCTGTTTATATCCTGCCTCATTCCAAAAGAATTTGAGACAGGACAGAGGCTCCCACCCCCCACCCACAGGTGCTTAGCTGGAAGGACTGTTTGCCTTCCCTGTGGCCCTGTGGGAGATGAGGGGTCTTTATCTGGCAAATATTTGTGTCTTGATAAGCACTAGCCCTGACATTCCTCTGTGGCCCTGCAGAGGCCCACCCCTCACATCAATCCCCAAAGTAAATCTGCCTTCCCAGGAGGTCATGGGCCTGGGCCAGCCACTCCTCAGAGGGAGATGGAGTTAATATACCCTCTGGCCACCGGGGGCCACACCAAACGGGCAGCTGGAGGTTTGGCCTCTGGTGCCTGCCACCCTCACCCCCTGCCCACTTGCCTGTCCCTCCCTCAGTGAGAGAAGGGCCAGTTGCTGGTTACTGAAATGCTGTTTTTCTCTTTCAATACCAAGGGGACTCTGGAGTTGGCTAAACAAGTGAGCAGCCTTCCTCTGGCCAATTACAACCTGCTCAGATATATCTGCAAGTAAGTGACTCAGGGGCAGGGGCTGGGTCATTCTCTCATCCCACACTGCTCCCCGAGTGTCAGTCAGCCAACCAGCAGGGACTATTAAAGAACACAGTCCCTGTGCAAAACCAACTTAAAGTCCCTGTGGGAGCAGGCAGTGTTCAAGTCCCTCGTGGATCATTTGGAAGAAACATACTTCTGTTCTTTCTGCCTCCTGTTTTGTGCCTCTCTCGGTCCCCTTACCCAAGAGTCTCCTTTCACCTAGGCCCAGACATCTGCCCCACTGCAGGTGAGACAGTCACATCTTCTCCTTCCATGCTGATGACAGCACCATGTCCCACAGGCTTTTGCTTGTACTGTCCCTCCTGGGCCCCAGGGGAAGCTCTGCCCTCTACCAAGTTGGCAGGGGTAGCCGGCTGGGAGAGCATGTGGGTGTGGGCACCAGGCAACTCTCAGCAGGGCTGGCATCAGGATTTGCTTCTCCGCCAACTGCCTCTTCCTTACTTGGCAGGTTTCTGGATGAAGTTCAGTCCCATTCAAATGTCAACAAGATGAGCGTCCAAAACCTAGCAACCGTTTTTGGACCTAATATACTTCGGCCACAGATAGAAGACCCAGTGACCATCATGGAAGGTAACTGGGCATCTCTGTGGCTATGAAGGAGAGGATGTGGCCCACATACACCTGTGTGCCCTCTGCGGTCCCTGTCCCAGAGAGAGCCCTGTGCCCCTGAGAGCATGGGTGTTCAGGCACAGACATCATCGGCAGCACAGGGTGTGAGACGTGGGGCAGGCAAGGCGGCTCTGACTCCAGGTGCTGGTTTCCAGCCCCAGCCTGCCACTTGCTCACCTCACAGCCTCTTGGGCGTTGTGCCTGCTTTCTACCCTGCACCTAGCCAAGGGAGTGGCCTGGGAGGCACAGTGCCTCCTCTGTGCTCCAGGACCCACGTTTGTCCGAGGAAGGCGATTCTTGGGCAGTATCCCTCTGTCTGTGCCTGGATTTGGAGAGTATAATGGTCATCCTTTCCTTCGGGGTGGCTGATGGCAAGTTTTTGTTGAGTCCTCTCTTGAGGACTCAAGACCTGGTTCTGGGCTGCAGGCAGAGCCCGGCACCCTGGGTCCAAGGTGCAGCACCCTCTGGCAGGTCTGATTGGAGAGACATTCACAGCGAGGCCTTTCTTGATTTGTTTTCTTGGCAGGCACTTCCCTTGTCCAGCACTTGATGACTGTCTTGATCCGCAAACACAGCCAGCTCTTCACTGCGAGGACCACCGAAGGGCCAGCCTCCCCCCACGGGGGCCCACCTGGCACAGTAGGGTGGGGCTCTGAGGAGGTCACGAGGGACAGCCAGGTAGAGCCCAGCAGCCCTGGTGCCCCTGGCCTGCCCTCACACAGGACTTCATCTCTGGATGGGGCTGCTGTGGCAGCACTATCTAGAAACTCTCCCCTGGGCCCAGGGGGCCGGTGCGGCCTGACTACCAGCAACCCTGGGAAGAGGATGCAGACGCTCCCCAGTTGGAAATCTTCCTTTCGGCAGTCAGGGTCCCGGTCAGGGAGCCCAAAAGCTGGCAGCTCATCCCTGGAGGTGCCCATTATCTCCTCTGGCGGGAACTGGCTCATGAATGGGTTGTCTTCCCTGCGTGGCCACCGCCGGGCCTCCTCAGGGGACCGGCTCAAAGACTCGAGCTCCTCACAGAGACTCTCCACCTATGACAATGTGCCGTCTGCCAGCCTCTTCCCCAGCACTCCCAGTGTGTCCAGCTCAGCGTGGTCGGGGGCCTCTTCCTTCGAGGCCTCTGCTGGAGGCTCCGTCAGCAGCTGCACCGCCTGCCGGGCCAGCGACTCCTCTGCCTGCAGCTCCCTGCTCACCGAGGGGGCCCTGGAGCCCTCCCCCCTCCCCAGCAGCAGTGAGGAACGCAGATCCCCAGACCTGGGTCACAGCCTGGATGAGGTGGGCCTCTGCCTCAGTAGCAGCGAGCCCAGCGACCCAGGCATCCCGGCCCAGGACAGTGCCCGCCACTCCAAGGCTCTGCAGGGCCTGGTCAAGGAGCTCAGGGCAGAGCTGTGCCGACAGAAGACTGAGTACGAGACGAGTGTGAAAAGGTAAAGGGCTGCAGAGGCTGGGCCACCTGAGGCTGCTGCGCCCCTGGCTGAGCAGAGCCCTCGTGGGCAACGCTCACCAGGCCCTGGCCCCAGTCAGCCTCTGGCCCTGAAGAAAAGCCTCCTGGAGTCAGGGCTCAGAGCAGTCAGCCCCCAGAAGTCACCTTTCTGAGAGAATGCCCCAGGATAGGGTGGGGGTGGAGCATGGGGGATCCCACGTCTGGAAGAGCGCCATGAATACCTGCTGAAGGAATGAGTCAGAATCGCAGCCTGGGCTGCTCCGAGCACCTTAGATGGAGGGACTCAGGCCATGGCTTTCAGTCAGGTAGGAGACACGGGGGGATGCTGACAGCAGCCGGGCCTGACATGGGCGAGGACTACTTCCCAGTCAGAATCCGATTTCCTCTGAGGAGGGAGCTGGCAGTGCCTCCTTGCCCTGGCCACAAGAGGATGCTTTGTGTCACATTCTGAGCCTTGCAAGCTTGCTCACAGATAGCCCTCATTCCATCCTCTCAGCTTCTATGCGGGGTGGGTGTTCTCCCATTCTGAGAAGCCAGGTTTTCCAGCTAAGGTCGCCAGCAGAGCCTGCATTGAACGGTGCAGTGCTTCCAGCAGCATCTCTTGACTCCTTGGTCTGGCTCCCTGACCTGTGGCCCAGTTCTCACCCACTCACAGGGGCATCAGTGGGTTCTGAAGGTGTCCTTTCTCCATCAGGCACAGTGGAGGCAGAAGGAATTTCCGCTTCTCACTTTGAGCCTGGGATTCCCTCAAGGAACTGGGATGGCAGTACTTGGCGTTTTTGTTCTTCTGAAAGCCACGTCCTGGGAGGGTCAGGCTGTGCAGGGGTTATGTCCTTGTCAGACGTATGACAAGAGAAGTGCTTTAAGGACGGAGGCCACAAAGAAGGTCCGGAAGGGTCAGAGCAAGTCACATCTGAGTGAGGACTTAAAGGGCCAATTGGATCGAGTTGAGCAAGAAGGAGAAAGGACACACCATGAGAAAGCCTCTAAGTGTACAGTTGTGTGGAAGCCCCAAAAATGTAAGCCAGGGTTTACCAGACAGAGGTGACAGTGGAAGCAGCGACAGGGACAGAGGAAGTGATTACTGCTGGGGATGGATGAGCACACAGATGAAAGCTGTAGGCGCCAGGGCAGGTCACCACAAATAGCCTCACGGGAGGTCAGAGTCAGCTTCTCACCTGAACTGCTAGTTCCTTCCCCTGCTCAGAGCCTCCATTTCTCAGGGGAAATGCAGTGTTGTTTTGTGGAGACTCTGGGTCAGACCTCCTGGGTTTGAGTCCCTACTTGCCATGTATGGACAGTGTCTCAGACAGGCTCACTGCCCCCCGCCCCCTCCCATGGGTATTGACTGACTGTCCATCCAGGCAGGCTCTTTGGGTTTAGGGACCTCACACATTTGTTTTGAGGATTAAGTAACACAATGGGGGAGATGGGGGAGTGCTCAACACAGAACTGGCTGTATCCAGAGTGCTTGGGAAACTTCGCTGCTCTTACTGCCTCCTGCTTGATGGGTTGGAAGTAACATAAGGCCCCCAGACGCAAAGGGACAGCAACAGCAGCCCCTGTGGTGGCGAAGCAGCCCCAGCCGTCGTCAGGGTTGGAGCAGAGTGGTTGAGAGTGAAAAGGACTCTGAATATAGGAAGGAATAGGGCCCCATCCAGTGGGTCTTTGGGAGAATATAGAATATATCTGCTTATTCTGTACCTATGGAGTCAGTACTGGGTCTGTTCTGGGTGGGCAGGGAGACAGACCAGCTTTCCGCCCTGCCTCCCCTGTGCTAGGTGCGACCTCTGTCTTTATTTTGTGGTTGTGGGGGTGCAGAGACCATACACAACATAGATTTTAAAATCTATGTGGCCTGTTAGGAGGTTAGATAGAGGAGGAGAATAAGACAGGATGGAGGGAAGGGGAGCGTGGGAGAGAGGGCCGCAGAGGAACTCCGGAGCCAGCACTGCAGGCGCAGGAAAGGGGGGCGGGCGGGGTGGAGTTTGAGAAAGGGGGCTGGCTGGGGGCAGTGCACAGGGCCCTGGGTCAGGTTGTGCTCCGGATTTTATTCCCAATAGATTCTAAGTGACTGGAGGGCCTTGAGCACTTTGATCGCTTTGACAGAGGTGCCTGGTTGCTGTACTGAGGACAGCTTGACCAGTTGCTGGCCAATGGGTCCAGGCCAGACTGGGGGCATGGGCCTAAGGCAGCAGTTGAGGTGGGTAGAAGAGTCAGATTCTAAACAAATTTGAAAGATGTTGCTAATCAATCAGCTGTGGCGGTAAGAAAAAGAACTGACTTAGGGACAACATTTTTGTTTGGCCAAGCAGCTGGAAGAAGGTGTTCACTGGGACCGGGGAGAAATGCGTGGATGAAGGGTCAGGGGCCCAGCTGTGGACCTGTGAAGCTGGAGATGCTTACTTCATTTCCGAGCAGTGTTGAGTCATCAGCACATAGATGGTGCTTCAAGTCTGGAGACGGGACCAGGGCACTCAGGGCGTGGGAGGCCCAGGCCCCAAGCTCAAGAGCACCCCCAGGTGGGAGGAATTGGCAGAGAGGGCCCTGGGACTGGAGGAGTTAACAGTGGGGGGCCATGGGGCTGCTGTCATCTGTCTTGGGGGCCTTATTTCTGACAACATGCCCTGTGCTCCCCAGGTGGAAGTCTGGGGTGAAGGGAGGTTTTCTCCTTTCTGTGAGCTTAGTATTCGGTGACTGAGGTGGAGTCCTGGCCTTGTCCTGGCTGGGGCCAGGAGTTGGCATTTGCTGCACATCCACTGGGTGTGGGGCATTGTGCTGTGCACTTGTGGTCTTTGTCCATTGTAGCTGTAGTGCTTGCAGGAGGTTGTCCCTGCATTTTTCAGGACACCAGGGCTCAGGGTAGTTTGTGTCCTGCCCACAGTCATATGCCTTGTAAGTAGCCAGGCCAGTTCCCAGGGTCCAGGCTCAGTGCATCCCTCAGGCCGTACAGGAGCTGGTCTTCTGGTTAGAAAGACAGCTGTGCCAGCCTTCTATAGTGTCAGCCTCTACAGAAGTGGTGTCATTCTCTGGTAGCACAAAGGAGCAAGAATGTGACCTGCTGGGGAGGATTCAGAGAAGGTTCCCTGAGGGCACAGTGAGCTGGGACTTGAAGAGCTAGCAGGAATGGAATTGACAGCTGATGGGGGTTTCTGTGAGTTGCTGTGCATGGCTGGGGCCTGGGGCAGCGGGAGGGAGCAGAGTAGAGGCAAGTCTCAGTGGGGACTGGTCCTACTTTCTGTAGTCCATCCTCTTCAGGACTGTCAGCTGGCCCAGAGGGTAAGTGGTCTTCATATTTTAGCGAGGACTGAGTGCCGGAGGTCCGAGTGCTCACACTGGTGTTTCTGGATCACCTGTTAAGGGCAGGTTCTCCGGGGGTGAAGTGCCAGGGTCTGTGAGGGGCAGTGGAGGCCTGTGCAGCCGCTTGGGAGCTGGTCCTGAGCTGCAGGCCGCCGCCACTCCAGACCCAGCCTGAGAAGCTCTTCCCCCATCAGCTCTCTTGGTAAACTCAGCAAGCCAGAGTCTAAAACTGCCTTTCTTCTTGATTTTTAAGACTCGAAGAAGGTACTGCCGACCTGCGGAAACAAATGTTGCAGCTAGAGGAAGAATTGGACCAGGAAAAGAAAAGGTACACCATGCTGGAAATCAAGCTGAGGAACTCAGAGCGGGCACGGGAGGATGCGGAGAGGAGGAACCAGCTGCTGCAGCAGGAGATGGAGGAGTTTTTCTCAACCCTGGGGAGCCTGACTGTTGGAGCAAAAGGTGCCAGAGCCCTGAAGTAAAGGAGGTCACTTCTGCTGTGCTGCTCACCCTCCTCTCAGCAGAGAGGGTCCCTGGCCTGGGCCACAAGGAGCCCGAGGACCCTGCAGTATGGACCCCAGCCTCAGTACCCGTGCTGCGGAGCCAGCTGGAGGGTAGAACCCTGACACCTGGGTGAGGGACGGCAGGAAGCCTGGGCCCCTCATGGAATCTGAATGTTGCTGCTATGACTGCAGGGCCTGGCACCTGTCCCTTGGCCACCAAAACAGATGGTCCCTGAGATTCAAGTAGCCCACCCAGGAACATTTTGCATTCTTTATTAAATTTTCTCTGAAAGTATGATGTCTGTCTCCTTTAAGGTCATGCAAAATGGGTGTTACAGAGTGCCCTCTACTATTTTTGTCAGGGTTAGGAGTCCCCATAGTGTCCCATGGGTGGAACTCCAGAGTGGGGTGTGAAAAGCTCCCTGAAGAGCACCCAGAATTGTCATAGTCACTGAAGCTGGATTTATGCAAGTCCTTGTGCTGTTAGCTCCATCATCCTTTTGCTCAAGGCAAGACAGTTTTCCCCTCTTCCCTCCCCATACTGAGCCACCTGCACCTCCACAGTTGGTGTCTGTCCTGGAATTGCTCTCAGGCCTTGTACCAGAACCTGCTTTCCTTGCCTGGCTCCAGCTCTGCTCTGGGGCCAGGGCTTGGGCAGGGTGACAAGGCACGTGTCTGAAGAAGAGGTGAGTCAAGGTGCTGTGAAGTACCCTTTATCTGTTCTCCAGGCGCCCGTGCCTTTGGCTGTGCCCACCTCCCCTGGAGACTCCTCTGTAGGTAGCGCCAATCCCTCTCCAATGCCATTCACATTCCTCCTGCAGTTCATCCTTCACTCAAAGCTCCAGTTAGGACAAATCCTTCAAGAGAGCCTTTTCCTGGCTCTCACCACACACAGCGTAGGCCTGGGCCAGCGCTCCTCAGCATGGACCACAGAGAACACCAAAGAAGCTGCTTCCATGAGGAGGGAACTGGTCTCTGGGGCACTGGCAATGCCAACACCAGGGTCCCTTCAGCTGTTCCTGCTCAGTGTCCTTACATAGCACCTCCCATTACCTGGAGCAGTAACCTGCAATGGTGTTTTTTTAGAGAGGGATGGCTAGGGGGTTACCAAAGTGCCCCAATTTCTGACCACTATCTCTGGAGAAGTCATTGATGCCCTACCATCCATCTTCCTAGGGTCAGGTATAAACTATTGCACCAATGCTTGAATGCCAGTGTCTTCAGTGCTCCTCAGCAGTGCTGGCCTCAGGGGTCGGAGCTCCGAGCTAGGGGGTCAGTGGGGTGCAAGACGCGGTCTTCCCTCAGGCCCACTGCCATCACAACAGGCAGTCTAGGTAGTCAGATTTCCCAGAGGATGAAATAATTGCCCCCCCCATTTCAAGGGAAAAGAAAAGAATATGAGGTGACTTTGATTCCTCACAACCACTCAGTAAGGTAGGAATTGGCCTGTGCTCCCCATGCAGAGGAGAAAACGAAAGCTAGCAGGAGGTAAGTGGAGACACCAATGCATTCTTAGGGTCCTGAATTCCAGCATCCTGGAATTCTGCCAACTTTGACCTGCAGATAAAATGCCAACAGGCTATCAAAGGAACAGAAAAGACCAAAGGGGTATCACATAATGGAAAAAGCAGTTGTCTGCCCTTTCTTAGCCACTAATTTTGGCAAAGGCTCAGCTTCCAGTCAAGTCCTTCATCAAAAGCAGCTCATGAGCCTGCTGGCAAAACTAGGATCTGCAAATACATTTTTTCACAGAAAATAAATTGGCAATATTCAATAGAAGTTCTGTCCTCCAATTTCCACTTAACCAGCACCCTCCTTTCTGTCTATAACACATGCTGACTTTCGCTCATGAAGCACAATGAGCTCTGGGTCTGACAGGCTCTGTCTATACCCTGTCTCCTTCCACTTCAGTTCTCCCCAGTTTATGCCAACAGAAGCTGTTTCGAAAGCTGTGGGTTCAAGCTGTAAGTATTATATTGACATCGTTTAATATTAAGTAAGCCAGTGAAGTATGAATGTGAAAAGAAGGAATTAGTTTCTTTAAAAACCTACCTGAATGCTTTAGAAAGACTCAGTAAAGTCAAGCTGCTAAAAGAAAGTTGTCACATTAAGTATGGATGAATTGAACGTGACGCAGTAGAAAATTAGTGAAAATCTAGAACTCTGCTCTGAAACTACTTCAAAATGTGTTTAACTTTACAGAAAACACTGGAAATTTTAAGACTCATACAGAAAAACAAGGAGTTGGCTGATACTAAAAGCCTGACAAATGATGTACATTTTAAAAGTTAGAATACAGTTTTAAGTGTGTGTTGTTTGTGTGTGAGCGACAGAGACAGGCAGAGACAGCTGTTGAATAATGAACTGGGCACAAACCATGTTCCCTTCACATTGTAAAAGGGCTTTGGATAGAAGGCCATGTATCCACGCTTCCTGGCCTGTGGGTAACATGGAGTTAGTAACAATCACATTTGACCTTAAATATTGCATTTCAGAGGTTAGAAACAGTGTAGAAGATAGGTTCTAGTCATTAGTTTACCAGCCCAAGACTTCCTGAATGCCAGCTTCGCAGGTGTTGTTAACTGAGTAAGACAAGTTCTTCAAAGTGTCAGCGGGAGCTGAGCATACAGGATGCACTTGCAGACAACATGAAGCACACTGATGTCTTACACCCTTTGTGAGACAGGTGGGGAGAATGAACAAGCATGTGGAAGAGAAAGGCATTGCAGAGAGGGGAGGAGGAATTCCTTGAGCTGGGCCCAAGCAACAGGGATTTTAAATAGGCAAGTGCAGAGCAAGCTAGCAAAGCATCCAGCTGATTTGGGCTGGATGGCAGGAATGATAGATGGAATTGACCCTAAACAAAAGTCTCGAACAAAATTTGATACTGACTTTGAGGAATTTCTCTCCAATAAGGAATCATTCTTACCAACCATGTGAAGATTGGGATTATAGGGGATGGAGAAGGTGACTTGAGGTTCAGAATGTATGGCAGTTGTGATGTGAGACCACACAAAACTCCTCCCTTTCTTGTCAACATTTCTCCATCTCTTAAAACGCTTCTTTTCCTTTCCAAGGCTAAAGCCAACAATTACACTTGCCTTACAAGGGTTATTTCAATAAAATACATGAAGTCACTTACGGTAGCCCTGCAAGAGACTATCTCCCATCACATGACAGGTGAAGCAACACCAAGCTCCTCAAACTGAAGCCTTGTCCAGGATTACTCAAAACTCTGCATCTTGAGCTCAGGCTGATCTGGACCCACAGAATTCAGCAGATCCCACCCTCTCTAGGACCTTGTCTTGTCAAGGCTTTTAGTTCTTCTTTTCTCTCAAGACATTGTTACATCTCTATATTTCCTGCCAATGTTTCAAAAAGACTTTTCACTACTGCTTCACCATTGACTCAGTCCTCAGCAATCCAAGCTATGCCGCAGCCTGTCCAGGGAGCTCTAAGTCTTACATGTTACATCCAACAGGAATCCGCTTATCTTTTTCCTCTGTCCACAAAATGACAGAAAGGAAATGGTGCAAGGGCTGTACCAGCAAAGGAGGCTGACCTCACGAGGGAAGAGACTACAAGACTGGAGAGGTCTGCTGGCTTAGGGAGCAACTATTTCTTTCCTCCCACTTTCTTCCTGTGCCTGAAACATACCCAGTGTATGTTCTGTCATACACTCTTCAAACTGGGGTGTTCCAGATGGAAAGTACATTGGATGCCTTTTCCCTGCACATGTGCAGGGTCACTCACGTGCAGCCCAATCACTAGGGCTCGAAATCTTCCCTCAAATAGCTGAAGTGCTATTCAATGGGATAGCAATGGAAGAAATAATTAAATAAAAAACTCCTCTCAGCCACAAATGCTAATTTGGTGATTTTGCTTATGTAATGGCAACACGAGTAACCTCTTCCATTCTCACTATGCAAAAAGGACTGTAACTCTCTCAACTCAGTCTTTGTGGCTTCTCAATCACCAATTTCCACACCTCCAGCCTAACCAAACTTGCTTCCACTGCTAGTGACTCTCCTAAAACAAAGGTTTGGTAATATTACTCCTCTCTCTCACAAACTGCAAGTTTCTAACGCCTTTAAAATGAAGACTTTTCCTACAAAATGTTTCAATTCTGATCCTCAAACTTTAGTCTTATTTCCCATTCTATTCTCTCTTCATATTCCCATGCTCACTGCAGGCCCCATTCCTCATTCCTTGCCCATTCACTTAAAAACAATTTTTTTAATTGTATTTTTTCCAGTACCATCTAACTCTCTTATACTCGCCACCCCACTGTAATCACCACACTGTTGTCCATGTCCATGAGTCCTTTGGCCTTTTTGCTCAATCCCTCCACCTCCTAACCTTCCCCCTTCCAGTAGCTGTCATCCTGCTACCTATGAGTCTATCTCTGTTTTGCTTATTAATTCAGTTTGTTCATTAGATTCTACATATAAGTGAAATCATATGATATTTGTCTTTCTCTGATTAGCTTATTTCACTTAGCATGTTCTGCATGTCCACCCATGCTGTTGCAAAGGATAAACTTTTCTTTTTTATGGCTGAGTAGTATTCCTTTGTGTACATGTCCTGTGGTTGTTTTATCCACTCATCTACTGATGGATACTTGGATTGCTTCCATATCTTGGTGATTATAAATAATGCTGCAATGAACATAGGGGTGCTTATGTTCTTTAGAATCAGTTGTTTTGGGTTCCTTTGGATATATTCCCAGAAGTAGGATAGCTGGGTCAACGGGTCAATTCTTTGAGGTATTTCTATACTGCTTTCCCCAGTGGTTGTACCAGTCTGTATTCCCACAAGTGCACAAGTGTTCCCTTTCCTCCATATCCTCACCAGCACTTGTTGTTTGTAGATTTATTGATGATAGCCATTCTGACAGGTGTGAGATGATATCTCACTGTGGTTTTAATGTGCATTTCTCTGATGATTAGTGACATTGAGCATCTTTTCATGTCTATTGGCCATCTGTATGTCCTCTTTGGAGAATGTCTATTCAGATCATTTGCCCATTTTTTTAATTGGATTTTTTTTTGAGTTTTGTAAGTTCTTTATGAATTTTGGATATTAACCCCTTACCAAATGTATTGGTGAATATGTTCTCCCATTCTGTAGGTTGTCCTTCTA